TTACAAATTAACAGTACAATGAAATGAAAAAACTCCAAAGGACTGCGACGACCAAGCAGCTCTACCTTAAATCCTTACGATCGTGCTTTAACTCTGCTCAAGTCCGATATCTCCAATACATGACTCTGCACAAAAATGTGCAGAAGTGTAGTATGAGTACACTACGGTCGGTACCCAGTAAGTATTAAGACTAACCTCAGTGGAGTAGAGACGACGTACAGTCAAGACACTCACTGGTATAATAACCTGTGCAATATAATATACAAAATAATAGGAAACAAATAACAATAAAGGGCAGAATAAAACAACCAGTGATATGCACATCAGACAACAAGAATACCATTAATATCACTCAACAATTAATAAACACAATTACACTCAATTAAATCAAATCCTTCAAATAAATGTCTTTCACATATAATTCTTCGAGATAACTCTCTTTCAAATATAATTTTCTCAAATAATTATTTTTCAAATATAATTCTTTCAATAAATCTTTTAAAATATAATTTTCTCAAGTAAATATCTTTCAAATATAATTCTTTCATATAATACTTTCTAAGTAAAAATCCTTCCAAATAAATATTTTGAATATAATTCTTTCAATTAAAAAGTCACCATGTGATACCTCATTTCATAATCATAAAAATACGGGTCTCGGCCCATTTTCATATTTTTCGTAAACACATGTCTCAGCCCATTTTCATATTTCCACGGCACCTCGTGCCCATAATTAAATCATCATATTTTCCTAGCACCTTGTGCCCTCATTTCATATCACAACTACACGGACAATTCACGTGCCAATTATCATATCATTTCATCACAGCACCTCGTGCCCACATTTTATATCACAACTGCAAGGAAAATTCACGTGCCAAATATCCTCATTATTTACTCACGGTACCTCGTGCCCATATTTTATTTTATAATCCGCCTGACAATAGCCACATGCGCTCAATTTCAACATAAATCAAATTGTTATCAATTTACCAACAACAAGATAAATTGTACAAGGTATAAAAATAAACACAAGAAAATCACAACATCACAACCCCACATCATCACATATCGTCCCTGACAATAGCCACCCTTATCGCTCCTATTGCCACCCTTATCACTCTTATAGCCATCCTTATCGCTCCGCCCAGACAATATCAATAGTCACCCTTATCGCTCCTATTTCTACCCTTATCGCTCATATAGCCACCCTTATCGCTTCGCCCAGACAATATTCCAACAAACACAACAACAGTAAAATGCCACCCTTATACCCACATAATATTAACGGTGAAATGCCACCCTTATCTCCCCAAAATAATAACTCACACAATAAAATAATTTACACGGAAAATTAACACGGCAACATAATAAAATCAATTCATATCATAATTTGCCCAATGGCCACAACCAAATTTCAAAGACATCAAAATCAATTAGTTTCATAACAAATAGCTTAAGGCTCCACACAATATATATAACACCCAAAAACAATCAATAAAGATAGAAATTTCTCAGCATAAAGCAAAACCTTCATTAATGTAAATTTAGATAATTATATTAACACTTTTTCTTAAGCTTGCTTAAATTAATTATTTGCTTAAGAAAATTAATATTGGAATTAATTTTCAAGAAATATTATACCAACAATACTCACGAAATTTCATAAATATTTCAAGTAACAATCACATCAAATTATCATATAAAAACAAATTCAACAATAAGGATTTAGGCATGGCAAACAAATGATTTAATAATTTTTCACAATTTCCCAATTTACTACACAATAGTGTCTAAGACATTAATTCAATAAATTTTGTACGTATAAGCCCGAGTACGTACTCGTCACCTCGCGTACACTGCTTTTCATATTTCACAAATGGCACATAAGACTCAATGCCTAAGGGGTAATTCCCCCACTCAAGGTTAAGCAAGACACTTATATTTTTGAAGTTATGCCGATATTCCAAAATTGTCTTCTTGCTTGAATTGACCTCTGGACCGCTCAAATCTAACCAAATTAATTGTATAACTTCATTAAAATTCATCGAAAATAATTCTGGATAATAATATGTCGACTTAAAAATTTATTCCAAAAGTCAACAAAAGTCAACGCGGGGCTCGCCCCTAGGAACCCGATAAAATTTTCATGAAATACGAACACCCATTCCGATACGAGTTCAACCATACCAATTTTATCGAATTCCAATAACAACTCGACCTCCAAATCTTAATTTTTCGTTTTCAAATCCATAAGTTCAAACCCCCGATTTACACCTAAAAAACATATAATCTAATCGGATTATTCGATGATAATTCAATATTATGGAGTAGAAATGATCACAAGTGACTTACCTCAAGTTTTCCTTGAATTCTCTCTCAAAATCGCCCCAAAACCGTGCTTGAAGGCCCAAAAAGGGCAAAAACTCGGAACCCCTCTGTTTTTAACATTCTGTCCAGGATTTTCGCACCTGCGTTGATTTCTTCGCACCCGTGGTGATTTCTTCGCGCCTGCGGTCTTCACACCCGCGATGATTTCTTAGCGCTTGCAGTTTTCGCATCCGCGATGATATTTATCGCACCCGTGGTCTTCGCATCCGCGATGATATTTTTCGCACCCGGGGTCTTCGCACCCGCGATAAATTTTTTGCACCCGCGGTGCCTAGCCAACCCATGAATTTTTCGCTTCCGCGACTCATTTCTCGCATCCGCGAGCTCGCACCTGTGGCCTTTTTTCGCGCAGGTGCGATCATACCAGATGCCCAGCTGCTTCAACTCCTCCTCCAAATCCAAATTCGATCCGTTAGGCATCCAAACTCACCTGAGGCCTCCGGGACCTCAACCAAACATACCATCAAGTCCTAAAACATTATACGAACTTAGTCAAATTCTTAAATCACATCAGACATCATCAAAACGACGAATCACACCTCAAATCAAAATCTATGAATTTGAACTTTCAAATTCTTTATCTTGTGCCGAAACACATCAAATCAATTCGGAATGACTTCAAATTTTGCACACAAGTCATAAATGACATAACAGACCTATTCAAATTTCCAGAATCGGATTCCGACCTCGATATCAAAGAGTCAACCCCCCGATCAAACTTCCCAAAAATTCAACTTTCGGCATTTCAAGCTTAATTCCACTACAGACCTCTAAATAATTTTTCGGACATGCTCCTAAGTCCAAAATTACCATACGGAGCTATTGATATCATCAAAATTCCATTACAGAGTCGTTTTCTCAAAAGTTAACTCTCAGGTCAACTCTTTCCATTTAAGCTTCAAATTAAGGATTGTTCGTTTAATTTAATTCCAAATCTTTAGTAAATCAAACTCGACCACACCCGCGGGTCATAATACATATTGCGAAGCTGCTCGAGACTTTAAGTCATCGAACATGGCGTAAATTCTTAAAACGACAAGTCGGGTCGTTATAAGCTATTTCTTTGTTTACTTGGAAAACTGGCCAGGAAATCTCATATCCTGAGCAGCGCGTCAGCTTATCAATAGAGGCTTCATAGACACAGTCGATGGGTTTAAGATTCAAATATTTTTGATAAAAACTTAGCAGTATTTCAGTAGTTACTGCGAATAAAATTTTGGAGTTGATTATTTTAGATATTTAAATTAATTAAAAGTATTTGGTTAAAGTATTGCCTTTTTGCATATAAAGTTTGATGTTATAATAGTTTTGATAAGCACAGATAGTTCGTTCGGCCAAATTTAGCGATCGAATACCGATCACGGCTTGTTTAGAAAATGGATCGTGACAAGTAACAAAGAGAAAAAGAAAAAAAAACAAAGAAATATAAAGAGGATGACTGGATGGCATTGGGTGCATATTTAAAAAAAATTCTAATCTAGCTTGAGCCTGCGAAAACGTTGGAAACGACAAAGAATGGCCAAAGCCTCACTTTGCCAGGCTGTTCCCCCTCTACTAAAATCTCAATTTACATTTTAAGCCTCCACTATTCAAACAAATTTGATAAGAAAAATATCAGTATAGTTATCTTTTCAACCGTTTTTAGTTAATGAAAATATTGGACTTGCATAAATGAAAGGACCATTACATTTGGTTTTCTTAAATGGAAACAATAGGTTGTCATCGGTATTTTTGTTACTGTCCTTTAGTGAAGGAGAACAATATGCATTTGAAGTTAGATGTAAGTAACTAAATAAGGATATAAAAAATATATAGCTCATTTTTTTATTCTGGAAAACTCTTCAAAATGATATAACAATAGTGGTCAAGATGCAAGAACTCGTTGCACTTTATCTTATCTGATTTTCTTTTATAGAATAGAAAAATATAATTTATCTATCATGTCTTAATTGTAAAATGGTTAATACTTACAAGCAAATAGTGTTTATATCAAATTAAATAACTTATTCATAAGATTAATATAAATTAAAATGAGAATACATAATTAAGTTTATATGAATGGTAAATATTTTGAATTCATTTGCTTGGGGTAGACATAAAATACATAGCAATTGTTTTTGTGAAACTACCAATTACAAACTTAACTTATATTTATTTTTGATTAATATTGTTTTTGGCGTCAAGTTAATTAACTTGTTGAAGACATGAGTATGAGAAAGTTTTTTTTTTCTTTTTCTGATGTCTAAATTATCTATTGCCCTATTTTATATGACACAATTACTATTGAAAAAGTTATGTAGATCTTTTATTTGACTATATATTTCTATATAATTTTTGGGCATAAAAATAGCTTATAATACTTTTATGTAGCGTAAATTTTCTTACAAAATAAATTTGGTAATTGAGATAAATTTTTAAAATTTTCACCTCAAAAAAATTTAAAAAGGGCAATATAAAGTCAATGCTAAATAGATTACAGCTATTAGTTGGAAAAAAAAAAAAGAAAGAAAAGATTACAGCTATTACAGTGACAACTATTACAATGATATATTTATGCTGCGAAGGGTATATTCGTAATTCCACTTCAACACCTCCAGACACCCCCGAAGGCATCAAAACGCAACCGGAGCAAACCCGCGCCCTACCCCTCTATCCTCTTCGGAAAACCCAGATCTGAAAAGGTCCTCAGTTCAAAAAAATTTCAAACCCAAACCCTAACTTTCCCATTCAAAACATTAATCCGATTGGAATCAAGCTCCACAATTGATCCGGATCGAGAAATCCTCACGCAGCTATGGGGGATTTCAATCTCGCACTCGTAATCGTAGCCATAGTCGTGTGTATTCTCGTATTCCTCTTCAATATATACCTACTCATCAATTACCAGCATCCCGATGATGCTAATCAAGCTTATTTTCCCAAATTCGTCGTCGTTTTGGGCCTCTCAATAGCCGCCATTTCGATCCTCATGTTGCCGGCCGACGTGGCGAACCGGCAGGCTTGTCGACATGCGATTTATAACGGCGCGTGTAATCTCACGCTTCCTATGAAGGATCTATGGCTTGCTATCTACATTGCTGATGCTGTTCTTGTTTTCTTCATTATTCCTTTTGCTATGTTCTNCGCGATTTATAACGGCGCGTGTAATCTCACACTTCCTATGAAGGATCTATGGCTTGCTATCTACATTGCTGATGCTGTTCTCGTTTTCTTCGTTATTCCTTTTGCTATGTTCTACTACGAAGGCGACCAGGATAAGTCCGTATTATGCTCTATTTCCTTTTTTTTGATATTTTTTCTTGTCATCGTGATGTTTTGACTTATTTGTTGTTGTGCAGGACTATTGGAAAAAGGATTAAAAGTGCATTGTGTTGGGTGGTGACCACAGCAATCGTGTGTGCTTTGTTGCTTGGAATTTTATATGGTTAGTTTTTCGAGTGACTCGTGTTGATCATACTTGTTGACATGTATAATATGCTGTTGCATTTCTACCTTTTGGATGCTAGTGTCATGTAGGGTGAGCCCGGGGGCGAGTTAATTTTGGATCGAGAAATGTCAGAATTTAAGTACAGAGATAGGGATTGTATATATCAATCAAAATAATCAATTAACTAAGCCATAATAAAAAATTAGCTGGGTTGGGTCAATTAATTATCTGTATTCATGCCCCCAGGGCTTAGTTTAAGTGGCAAAAGTTGAGGGACCTGTGACTTAGGTCACAGATTCGAGCCTGTGCCATGCGAACTAAGCCTGGTATTTAAGCCAAGAATGATAGAGGGGCGGGCCCATTATCCTGAGTTTCAAAAGCTGCAATTGGTCCTAAGGGTTTGACCAAGATGGATTTCTTGGTCAAATTAAAAAATCTGCATCCATTAAATGCGAGAATTAGACTATTTTTTGGCTACCTTTGACCTACCCTAACTCTCTTCCTTTATCATGGCTTGAACTGACTATGCATTGTGAAGTCCACAAAGGCAAAGTTAGGTCGAATAATAACTTTAGTGGTCGAATGATTCAAATGATCAGCTAACCAAGGAATGTTGGCTGTGTTGTTTCGTTGGACCTCACTAATATGTGTCTACCTTAGGAAGTTATTACAAATTCTTCAGCTTGCTGATGAGTTGTTGACCCCTGATGATGATGGGGAAACATAAAGAGGAGAATATCTGAATGCCATTTATGGGAATTGTGTCAAGAGTTAAAGAGTTGTATTCTGCCCCTCAACTTTTTTATTTATTTTTATGTTAGGTCTTGATTTTATTATATAAAATACACCAAGATGGTGTTAAAAACTTACATCTGGTTTTGTGGCTCAGTCACAATCGTCCCATAGACTTTCCCATCCTTGCCACACTAGTTGTTGTAGTTGCTTCCAGGGTCTAGTTTGACTCATATACTGTGATTTGTGCTAGATTCCGCAGCCTCGTGGAATTTCACTTATGGACACCTTAGAAACAAGGGGGTGGGGTGGGGATGATCATGTTCTCAGCATGTTATTTGAGAATTTTACCACCACACCAAGTAGCTTAATTTTTTTATGAATTCTTTGGGTCCCTAAACTTACTTTGCTGGTACCTTGCTCTTTGCTAAATTATGTAATGGGGAACAGGTTTTACTTTCTTTCACCCCCTTTTTTAGGATTTAGATAGTTTTCTATTTCAGTTTGGTACCTTTTTTGCTTCTAATATTGTGGATTTTCTTTGCTCATTTACCCCTTGTTTTTTTCTCTTTTGGGATAACTATACCGAAGTGGCTATTTATATTCAGTTGCTCAACTTCTGTTAGTTGAGTTTATTTATTACTTTGATTTTATCATTCAACATGCTTGTTTTGCAATCTTTATTTACCCATCTTTTGAATAATCCAGGGCTTGCTGGAAAGGCTGATTTCACTGTAAGACACTTATCATCAGCCAACGCTCCCTTTCCAAATTCATTCAACTTTAACAGTGGTCAACAGTGTATAAACGGTACCCGACAGGTTGGTGCATATCTAAATGTTTCTATTTGTTTGTTTGATATCTTTAATCTGGTACCGAAGCCGCCTTTCTAATTATTGCCTTCCATTGTACCAGTGTTCAGCATATTCTGCTAATGCTTCCTCTGAAACAACCTGGACTATGCGTGCTACTTTTCCTGAATATGTTGTTGCTCTGGCTACTATTGTTGGATCTGTGCTTTTCACGGTATGCCAATGCTTAAATTTTTAGACACTTGAATGTTGTTATTGTTCTGACGAAGACACTGGTTGTCCAGTTCTTCAGTCATTTTCATCTTGGTATGCAAATTAATATGGAGTACTTCCACAGTATCAAATTGCTGGTTTTGGAGTGTAGAATTTAGAATCAGTTTGAGTAAGTTTGCTGTTGAATATAAAATCTTTTTGTTTAAGGGTGGTTATTTGACCATGAACATTTTGTTGCCTCCTCTGATTAGTTAAGGGGGCTTGGTAATCAGTTCTTGTGAGGTTGAGGAGCAGCATTGGAGGGTATATAAGGGAAATCATCTCCCTGATGTACATGTTTGGTACTGACATATCTGGTTCATGTTTTATCTCCAGATTTTTGGTGGTGTTGGCATTGCCTGTCTCCCGTTGGGACTTATATTTTCGTTCATCAGGCGTCCAAAGGCTGTTATTACACGATCACAATATATCAAGGTACTTTTATATCTCAGCAGCTCTTTGCATATATTTTCCTGATTGGAAGATTAAAATTAAAAATAAAAAAAAAGCCTTATCAAAAAGATTAAAATAAAAAAAGATATACATGCTGGTATCATGATGCTTTATTTTGATTCTGTAGGAAGCTACCGAGCTAGGTAAAAAAGCAAAAGAACTGAAAAAGGCAGCTGATGCCCTTCATCAAGAAGAAAGGAGTGGAAGTAAGGGAAGAAAATGGCGGAAGAATGTGAAGGCAGTCGAGAAGGTCTATATCTTCTTTATCATGGTTTTTCTAAATGTTTGTTTCATTTTAGCACTGCAATAAATAGGCGGACTTAAAAATGAAATGGTTTAGACAATAGATGGAAATAGATGAACAAATCGCACTATCATGTGAACTATGTAAACAACACTATCATGTGATCCGTGCATTTCACTGCATAATCATGGTATAATATCTAAGAGAATTTTTTGGAAAAAGGTATATATATATATATATATATATATAAACAGTAAAACGGTGTTGTCTTTTTATAAAATGGAACATGTAAATTACCTAAAAATAGCATACATGGAAAAACTGTCTTTTTCATATTCTTTTCCTACTTCATGTACAAACTGTTCCGACTCCTTTTAGATATATAAACATTGTTCATTATTTGATATGAAAGACTTCACTTTACCTTCAAAAAAGAAAACACTATTGAATGATGGGATGACAAATCAAAAAGTCTTTAAGTGGCTGAGGGAATTTACGGAGGCTAGAGTAGAATGGAGGATAAATTTTGGTAAGTTACTATAAGGATATTGTACTCTCTACAGAAACATATGAAGAGTTTGGTATGTTATATTATTTTTTGGTGTATTTGCGAACTTAAATCCCTTGATGTATGAAAAATTTATTTGGAGACTACAAAAAAGTATTATAAAGCACAAACTTCTTTAAAAAAAGTTGTGAAATTTTGAGTGATTTCTGACTGAAGATAAAGCTGTTTAATCTGCAAGCAGTATTTGGTTATATAACGTAGGAACAGAAGCCAGCCCCCCTCCGGAGAGGGGGGGGGGGTAGAATCATTGTCCAAGTTGTCACTGGTACATTTATGAACTTCAGAAATTAACAAATAAATAAACTTTTGTTAAGTTGAGTTTGCACCTGTCCAACAAAGTGACAGAATAAACCATGCTCTGCTACTTTATAGGATTTATGGATATTCATGATCTGTGTATGCAGGTGGCCCTCCTCTTGATATGCATGATCAGCTTGTCCTTGTAATTCTGTTTTGAAGTTATTTATGATTTTATTTCAGACCTCAACCGATTTTTATCTCATTTATCATAGATGTTTGATGAAGAATCTGATTTTTTCTTGTCTGATAAATACATTCTGGGAAATTCTAGTTTCTTTATGTGTTAATATGATATTTGTTCAACTTTACTTTACCCGCAGGAGGTGCTTCTTCTTGAAGAGGATGTCAAGGCTCTAGAGGAGATGTACCCTCAAGGTGAAAAGGTAAAGAAATGTGCTCTTATAGTTGGTCAGCTAAAAGCTTATTTTTTCCTTCCTGCCAAAGTTTCTTTGCAGTGCAAACAAATCTGATAACCTTCATTTTTGCAGGCTGAGACTGCTTGGGCAATGACGGTATTAGGCTATTTGGCAAAACTCATCCTAGGTGTTTTAGGGTGTGTGGTGGTGTTATGGAAATCCTAATTTCCACTAGTTCGTTTGAATTAATTGAATGGCAGTTGATAGTTCTGTGTTTTTTGGTCCGTTTTAAACAGGCTGATTGTCTCTGTAGCATGGGTTGCCCATATCGTAATATATCTCCTGATTGATCCTCCACTTTCTTCTTTCCTTAATGAGGTTTTCATCAAACTTGACGATGTTTGGGGTACATTCGATCTTTATCTCCCTTCTCTTATTAGCTATGTGTGGTGGCTAATACATGAATTGTGATGGCTTATTTTTCTGTTAATTCTCCAGGTCTTTTGGGCACTGCAGCTTTTGCATTTTTTTGCTTCTACCTTCTGCTTTCGGTGATTGCTGGAGCAATGATGCTTGGCTTGAAATTAGTTTTTATCACAATTCATCCCATGAAGTAAACATCTTCTGCTGTTTGAATTTTGCTTTAGTGATCTGTTTGCTACCTGCTTTGCTCCTCCCTCTTCCCTGTCTCACTTTTGTGCTGGACCACTGTTTACAGATGGGGAGCTACGCTCATGAACTCCTTTCTTTTCAATGTGGGCCTTATTCTTCTCTGCTCTATCAGGTAGGTTTAACACAGTCCAAGTTTCTTATGTATTTTTTTAATATTTTCATTGATCTAACAACTGGTCTTAATGATGAATATGTTATGTGAAGGATAAATGCTTAGAACCACGGGTATGTAGTGTAGGTTATGTCCATGCAAATAGTAAAACCCAGGACCTCCAAGTTATTGCTAGACACTACAAAAGATGCAACCTGTTTCTTGGATGGCCTTGAGGGGAATTGCAGTTGTAGTCTTGATCTCATTGGGTTTAGTGGTTCTGGACCATTTACTAGTTACCACTATATGTAGGCAACTGTAGATATGAAAGCAAGAACTCCTCCAGTGGCTATCCTGAAACTTTCCTGCTGAATGTTATGATCAGGCACTTGCTAAGAGGGCTCCATTGCTCCTTATTTCTGAATCAAAATCAGAAGCTTTACTTCATTGTTGGATGATGGTTTCATGTGTTAAATACTTTGCTGAGTCGGTAGGTGGTATATCAAGGATGTGGAATTTGAGGGTGCTAAGCGTATGTTTACTTAGAACCCGTTTGGACATAAGAAATATTTCACTTTTTTTCGAAATCAGCGTTTGGTCATAAATTTTCCAATTTTCACTTGAAGATGCATTTTGCAATTTTTCGAAAATTTGAAAAACTCCAAAAAGCTGTTTTTCAAAATTTTCACTCAGATCACTCACAAAACATAAAAAACAACCCAAAATTATATTCATGTCCAAACACAACTCTAATTTACAATTCTTATGTCCAAACGCCCACTTAGTTATCGTGGTTTTCTGAAAGCACATTAGCCACTCTGCAGTTGTGGATTAATGACTTTTCTTCTGCTTCCACTTTTAGTGTGAAAGTTTGGTCTTATGATCCTCTTGTCTTTCTGTGCTTGCAGTGTCATTCAGTTCTGTGCTACAGCGTTTGCATACTATGCTCAAGCCACTGCAGCTCAAGAAATATTTGGTCACAATCTGCAATCACTTCGTGGAATTAAATATTTGTATAAGTAAGTTACTGTTGTGTCTAGATTTTTCTGAAGAACTGGTTTTTCCTACCGCAAGAATCATGTTATGAATGGTAAAATGTGTCATTGCAGGTACAATGTGTTTCAAATTGGGTTCATCGTTTTAGCTGGGCTGACATTTGTTTACTATGCTGCATTTGTAAGTTCTTCACTGTCTGACATCTCAAATATGTGTTCTTAAGGTGGAGGAGAAATTTAACCAGTTCTCTTAACTTTACAGGGGTGGAGAAGGAAAAAGCCCAGTGGGAGGTTCCAGCTTTCCAGTTAAAAGTATAGCAGTGCTCGCATCTGACCATATCTGGACTTACTCCGTCTATCACTAATGTTGAGGCATTAAACCCTGGTGTATGTTGCCTGGTTTTGTTTTATATTATTGTTGGAGAAGAGGTAAACACCATCCGTCATTCAATTTGATTTCTGCAGTGGAAGTTGGATGTTGGGGACTCTGTACTGCTGCTGCTACTTTCCTTGCTGTTTTTACTTTAGTTTTTTTCCACATTCTGTATCTATCATTTGTTTGGTAATGTTTTCATTCGTTTGGGCATGTAGTCATCTGAATCTTGGGCAACTGGTTTGAGATTTGTCCTTGTTGTATCATAGTCTGTCATATACGAAAATTCTTGAATGCTTGTATATTTATTGTAACATTTTTTATTTTGATTCTGAATCCTACCGTCCTCGTGTTGGCTGCTTCGTTTTTGGTGGCGATTGATCAGAAGATTTGTGTATGGTTGATGTAGCTTGTTGGCGTTATATATGCACCTAATTTAAAACTTCTCTGCATTTTTACAGTGAAGTGCATCTTCGTAAAGTAGATAAGAATCAAATACCAATACTAGGGGTGTTCATCGTTCGGTTTGGATCGGTTTTTTCCAAAAAAGAAACCAAACCAAGTAAGTCGGTTCTTCAAATATTGGAACCAAACCAATTAAGTCGGTTTTTGTTGGTTTTTTTATTTTTTTTAGTTATTTATCGATTTTTTTCTTAAATACGAGACATACACTACCAAACACATATTCCGGAGATTACATTTTCAACGTAACACTATCAAACCAATTGCTCTTTGAGAAATTTATCATTTACCAAGATATATTGATGATAATTGAATCAAATAGTGATGAATAATTTAAGTATTCAATTAAAAATTGATTATTTTTAATATGAAATAAATTCTTGTACTTAGCAAATATAACTACCAATTAAACTAAAATGTAAAGGCAAAGAATTATATTATTATAATAGCAAAAAATAGACTAAAAATATAAATGACTAATATGTACCATAAAATTTTAGAAACTTTATATAAAATAAAATAAAATATTATATATATATATATATATATATAGGTGTAATAATAAATTTAAATAGCTATTTCTATAGTCGGTTTGGTTCGGTTTTTTCGATTATTTTTTGATTAAAACCAAAACCAAACCAAATTTCATCGATTTTTAAAATTCAAAACCAAAACCAAACCAAACCTAAAAAGTATCGGATTTTTTGGTCAGTTTGGTTCGATTTTTTGGGTTTTTATAAACACCCCTAACCCTATGTATTCTGCTTCCCAATTTAGACTTCCTATTTTAACAGCATGATTATTAAGGTAAGTATTGAAGTAATATTCTGACGCCGAAGTAGTTTCAGAAAGTTGAAGAAAAAAAGAATTTGCTCCTTTTCTAATACTATATAACTAGGCCTCGGTAAATTTTATAAGACAAATTGTCGTACTAAATTATGTAGAGAATATTTTTTTCATTTAGATAAGGACAATACAAACTAAAGAGTAACGCAGTTAATACACAAGCTGCTTTTTCCGCACCCGAAAATTCATACTTTGATGCCGCCTTCGAATTGGAGCCAAAATAAGGAATTTTTACCTCTTATAGCAAAGCTTAACACCTTATTTATTTTAAATAAATATCATTTTAAAAAATTATATTCTATAGCTACCTTTTAATGTTTATAGCAAAATATTTATTTATGGTTAACTCCTACCCTTAAGCCACTATATACGCTAATTATTATTTTTCTCTCTTCTTTTTCAGATTTTTCTCACATAATTTACCGTATTTGATGGGAAGTTCTCTCTCCACGTTTCCCCTCTCTAATTTGACACACGCTATTATCTTCCCAGATTCTGAAACTGAAATTCCCTCTCACCCACATCGTCTAGGTCTTCCCCAGTCTCAGTCACCACGCTAATTTCATATATGCCATCAGCATTGTCTCTCTCAACTCTCATTTTTTTTGCTACAAATAGTTGTGGTAAGTATTTAACTTTTTAGAATTTCGCTTGTATTTTGTTTATTTTATTTATATCTACTAATTTTTTATAAACAATAACCATTGTTATTGTATTCAACAGAAAACTTGAGATTTTCTCTCCAATATCTGATTCAACATCCCACAAGAGGATTACCAGAGGTATACCCACCAAAGCACTCAATTTCGATGGGTCCTCTTTCTCTTTGCAAATCACTCAAGCGGAATTGGAATTTGCAGGTTCAGCAGCAAATACAGCTGTAGAGAAGAGAACTAAAATACACAATGATAAATTGAAAGAAGCCCAAGTTGAGAAATCTTCGAAAGAATCAACACTTCCCGTTGCGGAAAAAAGAAAAAAACCTATGGATGATGCTTCATGTGTCAAGGGAAAGGAGGTCGATGCAAGAAATAGCTCGGATACGCGGGACGAAAAGGTAATTGTTGATGTATCAATATGCATTTGAGTCCTCATACATTGAGTATTATCTTCTTCAATGGATTTCTATTATTGTATGTTATTGTATTTATATGTGTGCAATAGTGGATACATAGCTTCCTCTTCTTATTTGTTGATGTGATTTATATGTATGTTGGTGTATTCATAAGTATTCAAAATTGCCTATTTATACTTATTACCCTGACTTTTGCATATCGTATTTAAATTTATTCATAAGTATTCAAAATTGCCTATTTATACTTATTACCCTGACTTTTGCATATCGTATTTAAATTTATTCATAAGTATTCAAAAAATCCATCACTCATTTATACTTATTACAATGACTTTTGCATATTTGTATGTAGATGTATTTATATGTATACAAAATTTGGCTTCACTGATTTGTGCTTATTTAGTCTAGTGTCTTTTGTATTTAGGTGTGTTTAGTTAAATTCAAAAGTTTACTCACTGTATTTTGTACTTATTACAGTGACCTTTGCATATTGTATGTAGATGTATTCATAAGTATTTCAAAGGTGCCTTCACTGTTTTGTACTCATTGCAATAAAGAATGATTGTTGTATGTGGATGTATTTATATATATACAACTATTTCCATCACTGATTTCTTACTCCAGTGCATTTTGCATATTGTATTTAGTTGTATTTATGTGTATTTAAAATAATTAATGAGTTATGTATTCCTGTTGACATATGAAATCTTTTTGTAATTCTTGTTGTATGCAGGAAGTTAAACTTTTTGTGAAACACCAGCCTATTTCATCACCGCATATCAGTTCATATACTAACACTGACACAGTATCCGACCTCAAAGAAAAGCTTACTCCTGAGCAGTATAAAATATTGGGTTCTACTTGTTTTGAAAGTTTCCTTGATATGAAGCCTTGTGAGGTCCAGCATAAATTGTTCAGGTGCTTCATGGTTCGTCAGTTAGAAGGAAGTCATGACGATGTATTTTCAATATACGTCAATGGTACAACATTATCCTTCTCAATCAGGGAGTTTGCGCTTGTCACTGGTTTCATGTCAAAAAGAAAGATTTGTTGACATGCTTTGATGACAAGAATTGGGGTCATGATAACGATGGGGATGCCATCAAGATAGCTGTGTTGTATTTCATACACACTTTCATATTTTCATCGGAAAAAAATAGCACAACCATCCTAAGATTACATTTTGACTTGGTCGAGAGTGGGAGATACTCTGATTATCCATGGGGTATTGATGCATTCCAATACCTTATTAAATCTATTAGCAAGAAAATAGATTCTTAGAAGAAGTATTATAGGATAGCTGGGATGCCTCTCGCAATGCAAGTATGGTTTTACGAGCGTTGTTTAAAGGTTGACCCCAAAATTACAACGCGAGTTGATAACCGGATTTCCAGAATACTCAATTGGAGATCCACTATCAATCAGCCAACTTATGCTTATATGATGAACGACATGTTCAATGACCAGGGAAACATGGTAATTTACTATTTGTTAAGTTTTCGATATTATTTTTTTAAGAATTAATATTCTGTTAGTCAATACAGTTGCATATAACATGAATACATTAGAATACATATTGTTGAATATAGTTTCATACAACATGAATACATTAGAATACAGTAGAATACAACATGAATACATTAGAATACATCTACATACAATATGCAAGTATGGTTTCATTTCCCTGTCTTCCATATTACCATGAATACATTAGAATACAAAAAACAGTATACAGATAAATATTTCATTCAATGAGCATAACTTTATAATCATACAACAAACTTCGTTCACTTTGAATGTATTTCGATTTTTATATTGTTTACAATGGCATCCAACCAAGCGATGTAGAACTTGCTGTTATTCAGATTCCTCCAGGAGGTGTTGAGGTAGAGAACAGTCCTACTCCTACTCATTCAGATAAGTATGCAGATGATTCGTATGACTTTAGTCCTACACTGCATCTTCAGTCTAAGAAGAAACATGATGCAAGTGTTGGTCCATCTTCATCACCGCCCCACAAAAAGCGTAAACAACAAATTATAGATCCCTCAAATTCAGATACTCAATCCAAGATTCCTCATGCTGGCATATCTGAAATCAATCAAACTGTATTGCAGGATAAGAAGCCAGTAGATTCTAAAACAGATGAAGTATCTTCTTTGGGAATGATCTAAATTCATTCAAAGAATATGTGAGTTTTGTATGCACATATTAAACATTACAGTTTGGAAATTAACATTCATATATTTTTCCAACACCTCTCTAATTATTTTTGTATTGATTAGGTGATGGGCGAGTTCACGTCTCTAAGAACATTGATTAATGAAAACTTTAAGAAGCTTTCTGACCAGATTAAAGCCAATCAGCCTACGGAAAGGGTATACCAGAGTCATCCTACAGAATCAATCCTATACATGTCATTTCAGTTTCAAATTTGATTTAAGGGTTTTCAAAATGCATTTCTATAACGACCTTTACTATTCTTGTTTTAATTGAAATATGTATGCAGTTGTATTTATTTGTATTATAAATGCACTGTACTTATACATATTACATTTGATCTTTGCATATTGTATGTAGATGTATTCATATGTATTCAAACAGTATTTACATGTATTTAAGCTTGGATTCTAAATACACTGTACTTATATCTCAAACATCCAAATATTTTTACGGTTTAAATGTATTTAGATGTATTCAAAACATGTGATGTATTATGTATTTAGAAATTTTATAATACACTTATATACATATATATTCAAAAATAGAATACAGATGTTAATCCTGTTTGTGGTGAAGTAAGAGTTGAGGGAAATACTACATCTGAGGTGCTGTGGAGCATACCACTTGTATGCCACGAGGGTGTATCCAAAGAAGTACATGTATCACAATTTGAGTTGGCGGGTAAGTTTCTTCCAAGTCAAATTTCAGAAACTAGAATTGTGATACATCATGCAGCAAAAAATGTTGATACAACCC